TACTAGAAATAGCTCTTGCTAGTACTGCCCGCAAACAATTAGTTCCTTGATAATGATTGTTTTGAAAATTTAGGTCAGGATATTCGAAGAAGACACCATCTTGGGTTTTCACAATTTTATAAAAACAGCTGCTCTAGTTGATGCTAAACTATTCTTTTTATCAAGAATTTTTGGTGTTCAGTTTGCCTTTGATTTAAGTCCAACGCCCTTTTGAAAATCATGAAGTTTTTCTAGGGTTTGACATTTATTTTTCGTTTTCGTGAAGCAAAGACGTATGAAAATGGACACGTGATAGAACGGGTACAGCTAAAATAGATTGCGATAAAGGATTCGTACAGCGATGTACAGGCGATAATCACGACAATCATAACTTTTGCTCGTACGGTGTCGAGTTTTTGGGAGAAAGGTATGGCATTCGACTGGTTTTGATTCCCAAAACTTCGAATCAAAACTTCCATCCATTGCGGAGAACCGAGCTGTGATGCAGCACCGTTTTCGTGCCAAAAAAACCGAAGGCCTTTAACAGAGTCTTGGCAGAGCAACGCTCCGAAGATAATTCCCTTCCGCCCAAAGAGGTGGCGGTTAACGACCTCCTCGACAAAGCCGATTGATTGACAATGAAATTGATTGACAGTTGTCATGGCAGCAGAAAAGTGACAAAATCTGCTGACAAAGTGCTGACATTATGAACTGAAGCTTCCATATGCTACTTATACGCGGGGCAGACTATAAGCCCTTCACTCGCGCGCTATCGCGTGCGAGTTGCGGGCAACAAAGTAACAGTGCAAGACCCAATATAGGACTGGGTACAAGAACCATAGTTTAAAAATTGCTTTTGTGAAATTTTTAAAGCTTGTTTCCATCCCATTTTATCCAGCACGTCAAATAACGCCAGAAAAAAGTTTCAGCTTTATAACTTGCAATGTTAAGAAGGTTGTAGTGCTACACCAAAAAGAGGACTGGGTACCAATACCCCAGTCCAAAAATAGCTTTTGGGGGCTTTTTTGAAGCTTGATATGAACTTCATCTTATTCAGCATATCGGATTGCGTACTTGTACCAAACTTCATGCTTTTATCATAACATGCACAATTCTACTGCTATGCGTCTGCACTATCAGGAATCTCGAGAAAGCAAGTTGTTTGACAAAACGAAAAGTTTCCACAGCCATAACTTTTTGCTTATAGGTCAGATCACATTGCTCTTTTTAAATCTTTTGCTCAGTTTTGCATGCTCTTTCCGATAGTATCATCAGATTCGAAAGTTGAAATTTTGCTGACCGTGTATTTTTTCATGCTTCCGGAAACGCAATTTCCGGTCATTTGCCAGAATGTTCCTAGGGCTTAAAATGATCAGTGGCCTTTACTCTTATGATTTAAACTTTAAAAACTTCGGTTACCCAGTTTGCTAGAATGTTATGCAAAATTCCCTGTCTAATAAGTTAGTCTTTCTGTTGGATTATCTGAGAAAACAGCGAAGAACGAGTATCTTTTGTGTGCTACTTATTCAGGGCCTTGGCCTTTTGTCCTAGCCCATCGCTCCACCAACGGGCTAGTTATACACCGGTTATTCCCCGTCCTAAGAAGAACCCTGGCCGTTACAAACATTTAAAGATTTGAAGGTGCAGTCATTTCAAAAGGAGCGCAATTGGCCAGTACTGAAAATGATCATCGTTCAGCTTTTTATCAATGAGTCTATTTCATGAGAATTTTCAAATATCTAGAATGCCGGCTTTATTCGCAATTCGAATTAAGCTTGGTAATGAACAAATGTCCTGAATGGACAAATAATATATCGCTTATAAATCGTGGACATGGACCTTCTAGTTTCTGAATTTATGGCAAAATTGCGTTACAGTGAGGTGAAATGAACAGTGGTGACAGTGAATTATTTTAGCATGAAACTAGAGCCATCTAATCACATATTTTATTTCTATAAGAAAACGGATTCCAGTTTCAAAGGTAGCATGAATTAGAACAAGAAATATTGTTTGGTAATCAATGAATTCTGTTTTCAAATGGAAATAATCTAAAGTAAAAAAGTTATGCCTGAAAAGAGTAAACATTTAGATGAATGAGCTAATCTAAGCTTATCTAAAGGTTTTGGTCGCAAAAAGTTCCTGCTCGCTTCGCTTGCAGGGGACCGTGTTTTCTAGGTTTGCCCCTGGGCCTCCAAAACCTTTCGGCGGCACTGACTGCCCGTCGCTCGGGCCAGATCTCCTTCGAACGGAAGGAGCCAGTGGAACGGTAGCCTGTGTTCCAGACCCCTCTACTTTCAAGTTAAGGGTCTGGAGCACAGGCTAGTGGAACCGAAGGAGATACAAAACGAAAGCGGAAGTACTCAAATTTCGCAGACGACGAAAGTTGAAATTCAGGTTTGTGTGAAAGAAAGAGAATTAAGGTTTGTAAACTTTCCTAAATTACTTTTTATTCTATAATAAATTTCATGCGACAAGAATTCAAGCTTTCTACAGGGAACGTAGCTGGCGACTTTTCCTAAAAATTGATCGACAAGGTGGGCTAGCCCGCAAAAGGCTAGCGTAACATTCTTTATTCGCTGACATGTAGGAAATTTCACCGTCAAATAACCCCTAGTTCATGAACATTTTGATTATGTGCTGCCTAATTACTATCCTTTGTCAAAATCGAATTCCAATCCCCTTCGTCAAATGCCATCGACGGTCATTTTCCACTGTGGCCAAACCTGGAAGCATAGAAAGCACCCGGGATCGTAACGACCACATAAAGCCCGTTAAAACGCTCTCAACATTTCACTGAACATCGCTCAACATTTGTACTTGTACAGTGATGTTTAGTGATGTTTAGTGATGTTGAATAAGGTTGTTAAAACGCTCTCAACAATTCGACTCAACATTCGTTGAGCGATGAACTTCGGACTCTCAGAGATTCAAGACAAGTTTGGAAGATGAAGTTCGGATACTCTTTCGCTTTAACAGTAGCTGCCTGATGATTTCCTAAGGTCAGGATATTGGTCTTGCAACATGCTTTGAATTGCTATCTCATCCGATTTGCTTTCACTGCCAACTGTTTCCAAGCGTTCGTCATGGTGTGCCATTACGATTTATAAAATTCAGCTTCTCTCAACTTCTTGGTCTGATCTGAGATCTTGACGCGTTGAAGCCTTTCTTTGGCGCCCAAAATCCAAGCCTAGTGCGCTTGCGAGCGCGGTGTTAAAACGCTCTCAGCATCTCTCAACAACACCTTTAACAATAGAAATGTTGAGTCGACCCGCTGAACATTTTTCAATCTGTTCAAACTTCACTCAACTGAACAGGGTGTTAAAACGCTCTCAACATTTGCACTCTACAAATGTTGAGCGATGTTCAGTGAAGTGTTGAGAGCGTTTTAACGGGGCATAACATTTGCGCTACGGGCCTGAAATGTTTTTGCATGTTTAACAAGCACAGTCAACGTCTGGGTGTAATCCAAATGGAAACTTTGCGGACGTTGCCTTACTCGGAACGGCAGAATAGGGCCTATAAATTTCTACCGCTTTTTAAGAAAATTTTACCCATGTCATTCGATCTTACCTAAAAAGTTCAATGAAATGAGAATGAAATGACTTAAATTCAATAACATGAACACAACCTGTTGATAATGATATCATCAAATGTTATTTCCCCATGGGCAGTGGCTATGGAGAACATTTATGACAAAACGCGTTTGCGAGCGGATATAATGTAAGGCGCGCAGCAAAGTTTTCAATCTTGGCTGTAATTTGAGTCAAAATATTTGGACCTGAGCTGCTATCATTAGTTAAGTTTTATTTTTTAATAAATTGATAAATCTGTCATTTAGCTGAGCTACTTGATGCCCATTTCTTTTCAAGCATTACCTGATCAACGGTGTGATGCACTTGTTGCTTGCCCATTGAATTCTATTATTCTTTGATTAGGTCAAATAGGACAAACTAGTAAAAGTTGATGGTCAGTTTAGGCTAAAATGCGATTAATATTGGTAGGAAAACTGTTACTAAAGGCTTGTTATTCATATCAAAATTAATGAATCAGAGATGAAGCGGGCCTTAAGGCCGACCTCCACTTTGCCGCGCCTAAGGAAGATTTGAGGAAACCAAAACCCCATACCTCTGTGCAACTGGGAATAGCATGACCAACAGAATCACGAGAACTGAACAGCTTTTAAATCTCGCAAAAAGTTGCAAAGTACTAGCAAACTAGCAGCTGCAAATCGGCAAAGAAAGTTGTTATTTGAAAGTAAAGAAGTAAAAAGTTATTTCTACTTGAACCTTCCCAAAAAGAATGAAACTATAGAATGAGCGGAAGTTTTCATAATTTGATTGGATAAATGTCAGTGAATAACAAGCGGTCGCTCTAAAAGTCACCTTGATTTTCAATGGTCGCGCCGTACGCACGGCCAAGTGGAGGTCGGCTTTTACTTTTAAAGGATATAAGATTTTAAACATTTTTGAAATAGGCAGCCATTGTGTTTTAGTGTTGTTTTGCCGCTATTAGGCAAATGGTGTGGTGAAGCCAAAAATGGTGCATATGTAGTTAGAAAATTGGGCAAATTGTTTTAAAATGAATCGAACTGACTCAGGGCACTTTACCCAAATATGCACTTAGCTCTCTCGGATAGCATCTGGATGGGTTGGTGTATCAGGTTTACAATTTGGCTGCAGGCAAACCACCTTCCTTTGTTCAAAATTTGAGGGTTTTTGGTTACATTTCGTTAACAGAAAGATATGAAGGAAAATGCAGGAAGTTTTATAGAGTAGCTGGTCAAAAAAGTTTTAGAAAGTCTCAAGAAAGATGCATGAACAGTGACAAAAAAATGATTGTTATGGTAATTAGTAGCCCTGTAAACGAAAAGACAGATTGTTTCAATGTAAAAGCACTGTGTAAGAAATGCACAATTTTCTGGCGACATTTTAAGGAATGGTTAAAATCTTGATGTACACTTTAACAGAGCTTGTCAAATTCAACGTTACTATAACAGCAAAGGTCAAATGATTTCTTCATACACAGCGATAAGGGTATTTATCAGCAGTATACATAAACCAATCACAAACGAGCGGGCAGAGATGGAAATGATGATTGCTGTTAATGGTCCCAATTTTGAATATGTTGAAAGTAATTAAAGATAGTTTGAAACAATATTGGAAGGAATATAAGAAAGCAAGAACTCTGTTGGAATGAATTTTTTGGAAAAAAAAAGAAGTCAAAGCCAGGATTATCTTTTAAGTCATACATTAAATTTGATACAAACTTTTTAATAGTATCATATTTATTGATGAAGCGATTGTTATTCTTAAGTCATTTCAAACATAGTTCTGTTAAAATTTACTGGTCTTTGAACATAAATAGTAATTCATGAAAATAAAGTAAAACTGGATGTCGTTTTGCTACCATTGTTCTGAAACAATTAACTTCTATAAAAGGATTTGTCTAAACGTTTTCTAGATAAAATTCAGTCCACCTAAAGATATACATATTTTAACATTGATAATTATTGCATTAACCATCCCCAAATCCTACTTGATGTCTCTCACTTGAAGCGATTTAAATTTCTTCATAATACACATGTTGAGTTGAGTAAAATTTGCAAGAAAATTATTGCTCGCATGCAAGAAGTTCTTATGGCGGTCTGATGTACATGTTGCAATGCAAACTGAATTCGGGGACAAAAATACGAAAGAGAATGCCAAAAAGACACGTTTTAATTTCCCATTGGTTGGGCTACACAATAGACCTATTGTTAAGTATCCAGTCTGCAATGTAAGGCTCAATGTTACAAACAGTTTTGGTTTTTTTAATCAATGCACTCTTTAACTTCTGAGAACCTTCTTACGTTTCTGCTTTCAATTTCCCTAAACTTAGGCAACAGTTTTTTGAAGACGTTTACAGTACAGTACGTAAAAACATACATCGAATAGCTTGCTAGAAAAGACATAATAATTTATCGTAATTCCTCTGAAAAGCACCCAGGGCTTTGACTGGGCGCTTTGGCGAAGGGGGAAGTGTTGTTTGCAAGACGCTAAATAATCATTGTTTAAATATGATCTACATAAACTAAAAACAAAATATACGAATTTTGAATCTACGAATGAAAAAAGTATGACTAAAGGTGTCATATTTATTTACTTAGAATTTTAGTTATCGATTACTGTACAAGCAAAATTGCTGTACTGTTTTTTATCAATCAAGATTTTTCAGATAAGGGCAGTGCTTTTTTCGATGCTGGGTGCTATTTAAATTTTTGATGGTGTTAGAGAGCGCATTTTCGAGAGTAGCTTTTGATATTGTGGTTTCACTATAATGCAATTTAAAAGTAATTCTATTATTAGATGCCAATTATTGTATCTCTGTTAGTAAATTTATTCGAATCTTCAACAGCAATTAAGAAGAAGATGGAATACTATAAAGTCATGAAGACTCTAATAGATGAAAAAGCACTGAAAGCAGGAAGATATATAGATGTATGGTCCAACTTTGATATTTTTCTCGAGAGGGCTATTCTCAGGATAGGTAGCCATCCTGTAGAGATGACTAAAATTGAGTTCCTTAAATGGACACAGAAGACTGCTCAAAGCAAATATGACAAAGTTCTTGAAAGTTATACCTCAGCATACCTAGGATGGCAATGTTATCGTGCTGACAGATTCGACGAGGCTATCAAGTGGTTTCAATGGGTCATACTACTACAGTCTGTGAAAAAGTTTCCAATTATCTCTCTAATAGCAGAATCAAATCTAGGTATCGGATATGCATATTTTAAACTTAAGCAGTACGGAAATGCCATTTCTTATTTAAAAAATTCTTTAGAACAGTCTTTAGAAGTATTTTACAAAGTTGAAAGAGCTTTTGTGGCAATGGTGTATCTAGGTGGTTGCTATTCTGAAACAGAAAGGTTCGATGAAGCCATTACATATCTTCATAAGGCATTGGGATATTTTGAATCATTAAATTGTGACTGGAAATACACAATATCATCAAGATTGGGAAAGATTTATGCTAAAAAAGGAGAGTATGAAGAAGCAGTTGATTATTTTGAAGAAGCGTTGAGACATGGTAGCGAAAAAGAGCGTGCAGACATATTTTTGTGCCTAAGTAAAGCTACACTTGACTTGGGACTACTAGAAAAGGCCTTAACACATGTCAATAATGCAATAGAAATTGGAAAGACTCTAGATGATCATGCTCTCGTAATAGATGCTGAGATACTCAAAGATGAAATTGAGAAGATAACAAAGAATGAAGTAAGTAAATGAATAAATATTTGCAATAAGATGAAAACTATAATGTTGTTAGTGTGAAAACAGAGCAAAACATCTGGTTAGTTCTAGGGATCTAGGAATTCATTTGAAGTTATTTATAATCGATGATTCTGATTATACAAGAAATGTTTTCGATATGCTTTGAAATGCTCAAGTTTACTCTAATTGTTCGCATGCTCTTCAAAACAATCAAGAATAAGGATCTTCAAAAGTTTTTTATGTCAGTTTATGATAATAGCCTTCCTTCGCATTGTTTGATGATTTTCTTGTGGTTGAGTAGGAACTTAGAATTTTCTTGTTGTATATATCTAAGAATAATAACCCTTATTGGTTTGTAGTTTAAATTACTTCTCCAATCCAGCACAAAAATAGGTGAGACTTTTCAAGAAATTTTGGTGTTTTCTCTTTCCTTTTCAATGTTGGATAACCTTTCTTGTGTCTCGAACTTTTGTTTAGTCGAGGAAAGTTCCCTGTATGTATCAAAATTGCATGAAAACCATAAGTTTTTCTGTGTCAAAGATTTTGAGAATTATTTATTTTAGGTAAAAAAAGTAAATGAGGAAAAAAATGAGGAAGGAAAAGGTATTTTGTAATATTAAACATCATAATTATTACTTTGTCAGCATCTGCAAGATTGATCTTCTTAAAATGTCTTGATTGCTTCGTCTAAACTTCGAAAAAATTCTAGACTTATCTGCAATATTTTTTGTTCTAATCTTCTATTCTATCTGCAGTTACTGCTTTTGGTACCAAGCCACATTCATTCGCTCGTTTGTATTGAAAATTATCTTTTTGCAAGTGGTACTTGCGTTTGGTTTCACGCAGTTTGCATTTCATTCATGTAATGGCCGCAGGGTAGACATTGTCTTCTCTTTAATTTAATCTTAGAAGCATTGTAGAATATTTTGTAAATATTGTTATTAGTAGCTAAATTTAAAATTGAAGCTAGCTAAATTGAGAGATATTCAGTCAAACTGTTTTGAGCATACTTAATATCAAAGTTCTGAAAGCAGTTTTGGATATTTTGAATTTAAAATTTATTTTCAGAGTCAGCTTTATTTAGGTTCTAAGTTTTTAAGTTGAATGGTTTTAAATTTGAAAGATTCGTTCTTTTCAATTTTACTCAGATATATCACCAAATAAAAATCTGGAGTTGCTCAATTTAGGAAACTGTTTTGCTAAACTTTATTATCATAGTACGTAACCCGAAAAAAAATTTGTCTTTTATTTTAAGCTATTGTAATTTATTTTTCGTAGAAGAAGAAGAAAAGCTACCCAGACATATTATTGAAGGCTTTGCTTGTCTCATATGTCTTGAAACTGCAGAGGAAGCCGTCGAAACTAGCTGCTGCCACAGCATTTACTGCGAAAAATGCTTATCAGCTGTCAAGGGTACTTGCCCACAATGCCGAAAACAATTCACAGTGGATATTGCACATGCTGTCCGAAGACTTATAGGGAATCTACCCACTCAATGCTCTTTTGATGGCTGTACTGCCAAAGTAACTCGGTCTGAGCGTAAAGACCACGAGAAAAGGTAATGTTTCTTCCGTTTCAATCTCTCCCTATTTTGGATTTGAGAAACAGGTGCAAAGACCAAGAGCTCATGTTTCTGTTCTTAAGATATTAAACTCGAGATTAAGGACATTCTCAGCAACTGGTGGCCATTATGAAATATTGAATATGTTTTGCTTTGAGATTGACTTTCACCTTGAGTTTTGCCATTTTGGGGTCATTTTTTCAACGGTAAAAGAGTTTCAGTTTATGTAAGTCTAGGTAAAATAAACAGCTTTACTAATTTTTCGTCGTTAACGTTCTCGATATGCTTCGCCTCCGAGGAGTTGTTCTGCCAAAACATCATTTTGGCGGGAAAGCATCATCTGTTTCTGGTTGAAAGATCGGCATTTGCCTGTAAATTTTAAGATGCACACTGACCGTACAAAATGCTGTTCTGGCCTAATAAAAGAAGATGCCGGCTAAATTTTCTAGTGCATTCCGCGTTCTAAATTGAAAATCGCTCTCTTGACAAAATACAATGTAGACCTACACACATATAAGGTCAATGCATATATGCATAAAAGGTCAAATTCTTGGCTAGGGATATGACGATCTATCTACGATGGCGTCCTTATTTTTAGCGCAATAAAAAGATGGTCATTTTATTCATTAATTCATTTAATCTATCAACCATTGAAAAATTTCCCCATTAATGGCTACAAAGCCCCCAAAGCCAATGGCTGACACCTGCGTTGAGCAAGGGGAGCGGTCACCACCCAATATTTTGGAAGATAATGGTCTTTTGTTCTAAGACAATGAGAAAATGTGACGTCATCTTATCAAAAACAAGCTTCCCCACAACATTTGACCAAAGTGTCCTCCCCTGCCCAAAGCTCCTAAACTTTGTCCTGGATATGCAACAATAACAACTTGGGCAAGCTTGGCAGCTTTAAACATACAAATATACCGTCATACTCAGGTCGATTTGTTTTTCAGTTTAAACACACAGAAGCTCAATGCGATTGGTCCGTTATATAGAAAGTCATATAAACAGTGCAAAACATAGAATTGACAGTAAAGGAGACTTTTTCTAACGGTTTGAATATAAGCGTATTCTTTACTCTTTAATTCCCAAATTCACAGTGTTTCAATGGTTACTGCGGAGTGAGGATGTATTTTCATATCTTTGTTGCTTATTAGGTTCATTTATTTTCTTGACCCATTATGAGCGCTTTTAATTTGATTGCATATGAATTCAATTTCATGGCTAGGAATATAACGATCTTTCTACGATTGGTGTAGGTCATGTTTAATCGGAGTGGCCTTAATAGATTCCAGGGGGCACTCAATACATCAAGGCAGGTTATATATCTACAATACTCGTCAAAAGTCTTGGTACGCTAACGTAAGTGTTCCAGGGCAAATTCAGCTATTCCCCGTCCCCCCTTTGACCAATGTTGGTTTACTACAAAACGACGTAGGGGATTAGGAAGTCCGCTATTTTCAGCGACTTCTATGATATTGTTCTAAATTATCAGCATTGTTCAGGAGGAAAAGGTGCGGAAATAGGAGTATTCGGGAAAAGAATTGAAAAATATAAAAACACAATGCAAATTGCTGGGTTTTTCAAGTATTTTTGGCAATGATTGTATGTTTCATTGATGGCTGATTCGTGCTTCTTTTTTAGATGTGAACACCGTCTGTACAAATGCCCAGTACCTGAGTGTTTGTTTGAGGGACTGAAGAAAATGTATTTAACGCATTTGATTAGCGAACACGAAAAAGTTGTGATTAAACAGGTTTCATTCATTGCCAAAAACGAAGAGACCAACCAAGAGACAGACGATAGAATTCAAAGAAAGACAAATGAGGACGGGAAAGAGAGCAGGCTTGGTTCCACTGGGAAACATTATTGTGGTTATGTTTTTGGTTCTTCAAGGTAAAAACTGCTTGATCGCATGGCTGCATTTTATGATTTAGATTCAATGATAAATTTTGAACTATTAGAAAATTTTGAACTGCCAGCAATGATAATTGATATTTCTTATTCGTAAAATTTAGATCATCAAGTATCTCTGATAAAACTCGATAAAAAGGTGATCCCTTTAGAGAACTTTAATCTTCTAGTACGTGTCCCTTCCAAGAGTCTATGATACTACAACAAGGATACTTCCAATGTAGATAATGTGATCTTTACACTACATTCTCTTTTCGTTGAAAATATAAGTGTTTTATTGGGTAGACTCGTAGAACTATATTAAGTCAAAAGGGTATTCTAGAAAAAACTATTGACGTTAAGTGTTGAATATGTCGTTGCAAGTATTTTAGCAAATAGTGTTTCTTTTGTTGTCTTTGATTAGGACATCAACTCTCAAGTCCGGAGTTGATCAGCGGTCTTGAATTAACAGGGTGGGTTGAAAATTTCCCAAATAATAACAAATGGGGTGAATTGTAGTCTCTTCGAATCGGAAACAAAAGGGCTGTTAACAAGATGCTGGTTCTTTAAAATAGAAAAGTGTCCACAACATAGTGTAATGAACATATTCATTTCTTGATAATGTTTTCATCTTTCTTATTGCACTGATGCACTTCCTTACGCTACGACTAGCTTCCTTGTATACACCTTGCAGTTTCCTAATAGACGGGGCTCGAATATAAGTAATGGGGGAAGTTGGCCTGGAATAAGGATGTCACGAGTTAGATTTATTCGAAAAATTTATAAGCATGGGCAGATAGGCGAAATCTAGAGAGAAAACATTAGTCTTTACACGACTACTCTCAAGAAAACACGGGAAACTTCAGACAAAAAAGAGCTGCAGACAGGGAACGGCTAAATTGTTTGTGGATGTGCCTAAAAAAAGTGATTCGTCCATCGTAAGCCAAATTGCTCAAAGTCCCTACAATGATGATAATTCTAGAATCGCTAAGCAAGCAAGTTTACCTTTGCACTAAGGCATGTTTAAGAGTTTCAACTTTTTTTGTTTTTTGATTTAATGATTTAAAAGCATTGCATGTATCATTTCTGCTTTGTCATGCATTCATAGAATATCTTGATACCAGACTTATTAAGGTTGATTGATTTGCTGTAGATGCGATTGTTGTGATATCTACTGTGGTCCTGAGAATGGTTGCAACTGTGCCGCGTGCATGAAACTGGACATCAAGTCTTTCAAGCTCACCAAAGGCTGGTACGTCAACAGGGACGGATGCGTATGTCAACAAAACACAGAAAGTGGCAATGTATACTGTGGGCGACTTGCAATAACACCTTCCGAGGATTCAGATGGGTTCTGTGGACCGGATGTTGGTTCAAACTGTGATGCCTGTCGCATTTTGCAAAATCAGTTGAGAGATAGATATGCACATATCTGGGAGTAATCTGGCTCTTGAGCATTGTCCAAGGAGCTTTCATTCAAGTGACAACTTTTTTAAGAGCTGCTGATCGCTATCAGTTTTTATAAACCCACTTTTTTTTGTTCTCTGGATATTCTTATTTAGAGTATAGTCAATAGAAGCCTGCGTGCAGACTTTACTCCTTCGCAATTGAGCATAACAGCTCTCGTTACTGTAACTGATCTATCGATAAATATATTCGATCTCTTTTTATAGTTACACGTATAAACATCGAGTGCAAAAACAAGAAAAACTCGGAAAAAATTGCTTAAGAACAATCGACATATTTTCTTGTTCAACTGTTTCATAGGCACAAGATGCAATAAGACAACTATAATATGTAAGGATTTAAGTTAATATAAAGGTATCATTCTTTCGATATTAATGCATTACCTATGAGTTATTGTTAGGGTATCATCATTGTCGATATTATGTAATTTGTCATGAGCAAACGTTCAGGTATCGTTATTTCTAATATTATGCCTTTAGCTATGAGTTATTGTTAGGGTATCATCATTTTCGTTATTATGTAATTTGTCATGAGCAATCGTTGAGGTATCGTTATTTCTAATATGATGCGTTTAGCTATGAGTTATTGTTAGGGTATCATCATTTTCGTTATTATGTAATTTGTCATGAGTAATCGTTGAGGTATCGTTATTTCTATTATGATACGTTTAGCTATGAGTTATTGTTAGGGTATCATCATTTTCCTTATTATGTAATTTGTCATGAGTAATCGTTGAGGTATCGTTATTTCTAATATTATGCCTTTAGCTATGAGTTATTGTTAGGGTTTCATCATTTTCCTTATTATGTAATTTGTCATGAGTAATCGTTGAGGTATCGTTATTTCTAATATGATGCGTTTAGCTATGAGTTATTGTTAGGGTATCATCATTGTCGATATTATGTAATTTGTCATGAGTAATCGTTGAGGTATCGTTATTTCTAATATTATGCCTTTAGCTATGAGTTATTGTTAGGGTTTCATCATTGTCGATATTATGTAATTTGTCATGAGCAATCGTTGAGGTATCATTAGTTATCATTTGTCTATTATTCTGTTGAATAAACTCTAGCTTGATAGCCTGTTTTCACAGAATAAAATTATAACAATCCTAGTAATGCAAAGGATGAAAAAAACAAGCCGTTAGAAAGGTAGTAGCTCTGGGTTAGTCAATGTTTGTTTCCACAGCAGAACATAAAATATGTGTGCGAATGGAAATTTACAGGTTTATAGACAAGAGTTCATCACACATGTCGATGGAAGAGTAGCAGGAGTTGCCAAAAGTGCCAAGTGAAGTGATAGTTTGACACTTGACAAAAAATGTCCTAGCCTGACGCTGCTAGTCTAATATGAAAGTGGCATATTTCTCACTCTTTCTGCTAGTATTGCAGTTGAGACTTTTTTCAAAGCCTATAAAGGGTAGTTTTGCTTGATTTTGAGAAGTATGTTAGAAAGCAGTGTGTCTCCAGAGACAAAAAAGGCTGGTAAATCCGTCTACAGAAAAGATCCAGTTTTTGCTTTAAGGGAGATACCTAAAGTTCAATACAGAATTATGACGCCAGCGATCTTGGTCAAGGTACAATTTGCATCCAGCAACAACGTGTAGAAGTGTTTCTGGAAGAAGACAGAATACATAGGTGTTTGCTATGGCGACGCCAGCCACTGAGCTCTGGGGGGGGGGCAAAAAACATTTAAGGCGCCCTTTTTACAACAGGGAAGGCCAATTTCATCCGAAGGGAACGCCCATGACTAACTTTTCGTTATTTAAAGGCAGTTTGAAAATCGTATCATAAAAAGTACGTTGTCAAAATATTACCCTTCCCCCAACATTTTCTCGTCGAATTTAGACGAAATATAGAATTGGTCCTGCCGAGAACTAGTGGGAATAGGCCCCGTGGCCCCGTTCCATTTGAGCAGACTTTTATGAGTTGGAAAAGTTGCGTTAAGGCACTTCATGGTGAAACTAAAAATGTTAGTAGGCAGATCGATCTGTGTGCCTGACTGCTGTTATTCAACAATACATTAATGAAATACAATTCTACACCCCACCATTCATGTTAGGCAGTGTACAATTGTCAGCCTGTCTTTTGAATTATAATGAAATTAAGCTTGTGTCAGTGAAATGAAAAGTGAGAGTTAAATTAAACATTAAAATACAAACGAGTTAGAAGACCTTTATGTCGGTATCAGTCAAAAGTTTATTTCTTTTCCAAAATATAGTGTATTGCTATTTTTTTAATCATCTCATTTTCATTGAACATATTTCAAATTTACAATTATACGGCTCGCTTTTACAGGCATCATATAATTGGCTTATATGCCTTACGTACTAACAATGTCTAGAAATCCATCAGACCTGGACTTAGCCATGTTTTGTTTCGAGGACAGAAGAAATAGTAGGTACAGCGGATAGAAAAGTTCATGAGTTTCATCAAGATGGATTTATTTCAATTTGAGTCAGAACTGAGTTGATGTAGCATATCAAGGAATGTGGCAGATGAGGTTCCAAGAATTCCAAGGACATTCAGAGAAAGGTTAACAAAGGGAGAGCTTTTATAGGCAGGGGTAACTTTTTGAGATGTTTTCGTCGATGTCGCTTGTTCATGACTTTAACAATAATAATAATAACAATCTCTCGACAAAAGAATTAAAGATAAGCTTTAAAATAAACATCATCTTTATTGTAAAAGGTTTGCAACGGTAACTGAAGGCTAAAACAACAAAGATACATCAATCCAATGTACCCAGAATCGATTGTTCCATCTAGTCAGAAGTTACTTTTTGCAAATTATAGGGAAAAGTAGACTTTTATAAAACCGGATGCAGGTCTGACGCTGTGTGGGAAAGTACTTCAAATGAAGAGAATAAGCAGGAAAAGGTTGAGGTTGACTCAGAGATACTAAAGCTACGTCATGATTATCTGCCAAAGTGGAGGCATGCGGCCCAGATAAGCTTAATGTATTTTGGATGAAAGGTTTCACATGTCTGGCAAGAAATATTCAATCAAGAGAGTGGAGAAACACCGCAGCAGGCAATATTCTAAGGTGCTGTGATGACCAATTTGTGTAGGGATAAAAGGGAAATGTGCAGCAATGAATCTGAATTTGTGCAGTGATGAAATTTTCAAAAAAAATTATTAATAATCAAAATGTTTAAAACAACCACCAACTAAACGCAAGGTACACTTTCTTTAATCAGAAGTATTGTAACACTAAACTAGTTGATGTTGACATATACCTACAATCCCGGACAAAATTGTTGAGACAAAATGAAATTTCTCCATTTTTCTACTTTTTGTCGCCTCTATAAATTCAAATCCCCCCTTTCCCCCGAATCAGCGCTGGATATGCTGTTCTATCATTTCTCCTTCAAAATCATGCATTCAAGATTCAACATTGAATTGGGGGAGGGGGAAGTTATTTTTTAAAGAAAAGTGAAAATATCAACTGTCCTTGAAAAGTCTCAACCATTTTTGTCCGGGATCGTAGGTATGGGCTTATTGTCTTGCGTATAAGACGGCTTCTAAAACTAGTTTTAGGTTTGTTGCGTGCTGAGACTATTTTTTGCAATCTGCTGAATGAAGCTTCGATGGTAAATTCTTATTTTAATATTGATGACATCTTAGTGGTGTTTATCACCTTGATCTTTCTTGCATATTTTTCTGAGAATAACTGTTGGGCCTTTGCATAGAGCACTTTCTTTGTGATCTTTGCATTGATCTCTCGTAAGTCAAAATCAGGAGCAATGGACACGCGAACATTTCTTTTATCATCCTCACTGGCTCAAAGCTTATAAAATCTCCAAATTCACCAAGAAATTGGTTTCTCGTTAAAATTTTACGAAAGAGGCATTTAGTTAAAAGTTACAATCGATTTTCCTTGGGTATCTGTTTTCATATGTTCATATACATATATTATTTTGCTTGTGTCTTCTTTCTCCAGTATATTTCTAAAAATCATGGAACAAATTTAAAACAACAATCATTTTAATGACAATAACAAGTTGGGAACAAATTTAAAACAACAATCATTTTAATGACAATAACAAGTTGGTACAATTATTTTTATCGTAATGAGCATAAACCTGATTTTTTGTGTTCATTTAAGTGAACTTCAGCTGCTCAGCTACGCTGTATTTTTCAGAACTGAAGCCTATAGTGTGCCACCATCAATCCCCCTCATTAGATGATCAGCCCAAGTTCACATTCTTACAACTAATAGCTAATAGATTTTGACGAAAGAGGGGGTCGACCTTTAAAGCTATAAAGAAGGGGAATTGGTACATAGATAGTTTTAGTGATCTGAAATCTACTCTTAAATTTGGGGTATTAGTTTGTTGCTGAAAAGCAAATCATCCCAATGTGCAAACCGCACCCGCTAAACCTGCACTCATGCTATACTGCCAATCGCGATACTGGTTGAAATTTCCAAATTTTTTGTATGTGTGCAATGATGAAAATCACTTAGAATATTGCCTGCACTGCAGTGGATGAGAGGGTAAGATATGTTTGTTTTTGAAAGATGAAACGAAAGGAGGAGATATTACAGACTTCAGAGCCATTATATGTCTTCCAATGAAGTGGAGGATTGTGACTGGAGTAACATCAAAATATGTCTACAATCATCTGGATTCAGAAAAGCTGTCTTTTCAAGAGGAGAGGGGAAATTTAACACGAATGATAAAAGATTTTGTGAAGAGTTGTATTGTATTGAAAAGGTATAGTGGGGGCATGGCCCCCGGCCCCTCCTTTGTCTGAGGCTCTGCAGTGGCGTAAACTGGAGAGGTAAGATTTGGGGGAAAAGGCGGGTTGAGTGAGGAAAGAATGGGGGTCCACACCTTTCGGAACTCCAGAAAACGTCCTTTTTCAAAGATACTTTGTTGCCGTTTAGGGGAGAGGGCGTCTGCACTCTCTTGGCTCCCTCGCTAATAAACTAAATACATTCCATTTCAGATGCCGTAAATTCTAGAATTAGCCCCCTGGGGGCTTATTCATTTTTGATATTTTTGGATGGGGGCTTATTCGAGGAGGGGTCTTATACGAGAGGGGGCTTATACGAGGGGGGCTTATGAAATTATTGTAGACACTAAGAAGACATCATTAAAAGACCTCGTTTATTCTAGTAGGAATTTATTTATGAGCATTTAATTAATTACTACCAAAAGTATGAATTTGCTGTGGCAATTCAATAAAACGCCATAGGCACCCTCAGATGGCAAAAATCATCAAATTGAGGGGTCCAATTCGAGAATATACGGTAGCAATGGGGGCTTATTCGAGGGGGGGGTCTTATTGACAATTTTTAGTTCTAGGTAGGGGGCCTATTCGAGGGGGGGCAATTCGATGATTTACACTATGAACAATTCCACGTCCAGCATACACTGTCACTCAGAAGGAGCTTAAAAGTGGGCTTATTGACAATTTGTAGTTCAAGGGTGGGGGCTTATTCGAGGGGGGGGGCTTTTTCGAGGGGGGGGGGACAATTCGAGGATTTACGGTATCCACGTCCAGCATACACTGTCACTCCGAAGGAGCTAAAAAGCGGAAGTAGTAGATTAAAATGGAATTCCACTCATTGTCAAAGGCTTAGTCGAAACTGAATTGGGATGATTGGGATAAACTAGGGCGAATTATGAGAGCAGTTGGTTAGTAGAATTCAGTTAGTTTTTTTTGCATATATTTACTTAATGAAACGAAGACTTCGAGAATCTAAAAATAAAGAGAACCTGGAAATGTTCTAGACAGTTGCCGAAGTTGAACAAACAAACAAAACCCCTAAATTACATACAATTGATTCGCAGTTAAATGACGTTTGCTGCCGGACATAGTCGACCTTAAATTTGCAGGTTTTTATTCTTGGAAACTCCAACATTGACCCTGTTAACTATAATGCAAATACTCCCAACAACAAATTAGGTTAATTTCCTTTTTTTCGAGCAATATCTTCCACATTTCATTTCATCAATCAGGCAATCAAGGAATTTTAGAAACTCTTCAAAAAAGAAATAACCTGTAAAAAGGATTGACGACATCTTTTCAAATACTGCTGATAATTAAACTTCTAATGGTATATTCTGACTCAAATATCAGTTTATTTTCCCACGCTTCTGATCGTTAAACAAGCAGGTATTTTTTATAAGAATTTTTCATTTTACCAACATGATTTCTTTAAGAGCCTCTTCTGGGTGATTTTGCTAACCAGGGGCTACGCCACCATTTTGTAAGTGTGGGGGGGGGGGGCTAGCAAAAGTAGGGGACCAAGGCTTTTTCCCCTTTTACTGCAGCTTTAAAACTACTTGCTTTGCGAAAATGTGGGGGGGGGGCAATGGCTAAAGTTAACAGAGTACTGTCCACCCTTAATCATTTTGTCAAGGCTCATGCACCTTTAGATAAACTTACCAAGAGGGATATCAAGTTTAGAAATAAACCATAGATTAACATTTAAATTCAAAGACGATGCGCATCAGAGATAGATACTTACTACACTCAGAAAAGCACTTACCAATTGGAATTAGGTTAGTAAGTTGAAGCGTGCAGAAATCTTCAAAGTCATTCATTTTTGTAAAATGTTGAAATCATACTTTTTAGACAAAAATTACAATTAGCTGATTGTTACTGTAATTAGCTTTGAAAACAAATCAATCAAATCATTAGTCATAATTGCTAAAAAGGGTGCTATTTCCTCATTTAGGTTATCTACTGAGAGAGCTCCTTCTGAAGAATTTCCCTTGCATACAATCACTGTCTCTTTTATAATCTCTTGTATCTTTCATATGATTGGTAGTTTTTTGGTAATTATTTTTGTCAGAGCCTGTGCCACGGTGGCTATGCCCCCCTCCACTTTTTTGCATAGCAAGTAGTTTTAAAGCTGCAGTAAAAGGGGTAAGAAGCCTTTGCCCCCTACTTTTTTAGCCTTTCCCCCCACCCAATTTCCAATTCGTGGCACGGGCCCTGTTTGTGTGTATAATGTAATTTAATTTTAATTGTATGTTGTGCCATTTCAAATCATGAGAACTGAACTGAACTGATATTGCAGTATCAACTTGATATATTTCAATTAATCATGAGACAAATTTATAACAACAAATATTTTATAGATAATAACAAGTTGGCACCATTGTCAGCCATGGTTGAGCAATGGTTTTTTCGCAGGGGCAAAAGTGAAGGCTTTGTTGGACCATGGTTTGATCATGGTCGAGAGACATGGTTGAATCATGGCTAGATCATAGTCAAATGACATGGTTGAATCGTGGTTCGATCATGGTCAAGTGACATGGTTGAACCGTGTTTGAACCATGTTTCAAACCAAGTTTACAAACATGCAATTCCTGTAAAAATTCAAATTTGTATTTTCAAAAATCCAAATGTTTATATGGTTGAACCCTTGACCTAAATTGCCAAAATGGCTATATGCCATGGTCTAACCATGGAAAATAAACATGGTTGAAAATAAACATGGTTGAGCTGTGGTTAAGCCAAGGTTCAACAATGAGCAGATAAGCATGGTTTGGCTATGGTCTAACCATGGTTTAATCTGAAATCATAAAAAGAACTGAAAATTTCAAAATTGTTTAAAATAATCGTGAACATTTCAACTTTGTTCAATATCTTAATATTGCTCAAGCAAATTTATGAGAAAGTGAAAATTTTGAAATATTAGACATGGTTCAGCAATGGTTGAGCAATGGGTCCCATTGGAAATTCATGGTTCTACCATGGTTAACCATGGTCATATCATTGCTCAACCATGGTGGGCAATGGTTGAAAACCATTGTGCAAGCATGATGTCACCATTCTCAGCCATGGTTTATCAATGTTTTTTTCGCAGGGGAGCCCATGTGCCTGTGGTTACATTTGCTGCACTGTTGTTTGGTTTCCGGGTCAAAACTGTAGATCCAGGCTTTTGACCTCACTCCGCCAAATCTCTGGGTCATTGCATGGTACCTCTGTAGATACATCCTGTTTTTGTTCATGTGTCAGCCTATGTGGGAAGCACTCCCTGGCTGAAACCTTGACAAAAGTTATTGTGCAGGATGTTGGTCACTTTTCCTGACTAAAATCCCCACATCCTCTGGAATCTGCAGCACAGTGACTTTTTCATCCTCCTCTACTAGCTTCCTTGCTGACATCATGTGTTTCAGTTGTGGCTATTACTGGGTATCCAGAGTAGGGTCTGTTTCTGATCTCTATTTGATGGTGTTGGCCTCTTTGAAACACTGAAAACCAGTCATAAACAGCTGACTCTGAAGGTGTTTCATTAAATGAGTCTTTCCTGCTGAAGTCTTAAAAATAATAGCCTGTAACCATCCAGATATGTTGAACTCCTTGACTGAGTTGTGAAACCACAATCTATCCATTTTTAAAACACATCTGTGTTGATTTCTTTTTGTTATGCAAAGGAATTTTTTTAAAGTGTTTTTTAAAAATGCAATTCATAAGTGTTTTTTAAAATGCAATTCATTAAATAACTGTTAAGTTTGATTTTACAGGAGCAGAGTTAATGATGTCAAGGCTTGATCAGTATGAATTTATGAAAAAGTCTTTTATAAATAAAGAAGCAATCAGAAAAGGGAATTATGTAGAGGCATGGGATTGCTTTAGGTTCCAGCTCAATGTTGTCTTGAGGGAGAAAAATCCAAGCCCTGGAGAGGAATTGCAGAAAGAAACAATTCACTACTTGAAGTTAATGCTTGATACTGCGGAGCAAAAAGAAAACAAGATTCTTAAAAGCTACACTTTGAACTTCTTAGGTAGACAATATAATCTAGCAGAACAATTCCAGGAAGCTCTCTTATGTTTTCAACAGAACATACCCTTGTCAAGTAAAGTGAAAAATCCAGATCTTCAAGGCAGAGCTTTTATAGGTTGTGGATATGCATATTTTCACCTTAAACACTATGCACTTGCAAGTGAAAGTTACAAGAGCGCTATCAAGAATGCTGAAAGCACTTACAATAGTTCAAGACTATTAATTGCAACTACATTCCTTGGGAGATGTTATCTTGAAATGGAAAAATGGGATGAGGCTGTTGGCTTTTTCAAGAGAGCAATGGAAAAGGGAGGAGAGAAAGGTGATCTGTCAAAGGACTTGCTTTGTTACATATTGTCAGGTTTTGGAAAGATTTATGCTCAAAATGGAAGGTATGAAGAAGCAGTTGCTCATTTAGAACCAGCTGTGAATCTTGCCTCAAGGCTCCGTTTTGATAGAGAACAAGCAGACTTGCTTTTGTGTTTGAGTAATGCTACATTTAACATGGGACTACACGATAAGGCCTTGGCGCATGTCAATGTTGCAATACAAATTGGAAAAACTTTAAAAGATGATGCTTTTGTAAAAGAGGCTGAAATTTTCAAAGAGGATATCAATAGACAGCCAAAAAATGAAGTAAGTTTTGGGTTCTTAATATACATTGACATGTTAACTACATAGCTGCTTACTTCAATGTGTCATTTATCAGTTCTTTTGGGGAGAACGCAGGTCCCCCAGACTGCAAAGTTTGGGTATGCGCGGGGAACGGGTTCCCCACGCAATAACTTGTTGCTCAAATCCTGTCCGTGCATTTTTGCAAATTTAGATTAATCCGGGCAGTTGGAAAACGGAGCTTTTAACCTGCTATTTTGCAACATGATCTGTGCCCATGCAATTGAAGCGACATAAAATAATTCCCCGTGCACAAAAAATACTTTGCACTCTGGCAGGTCCCTGGTCATGTCCACTGGGGATTGTTGTCTCTGTTACTCTACAAGGATTTGACACACACACACTGTAAATTTAACTTTTGTGCAGATTTTAAGGGGCATTTTATTAGAAGATACCTACAAAGCATATGAATGTATCACCAAGGTATACATAGGAAGAACAGTTGGCCATTATTTCAGAAAAAGAACCCATTGTTTGAATGTTTGAACCATAGGTCAAAAATAGTATGCCTCTTCGAGGGGCATACAAAAACACAAAGAAGTGGCTAGAAACTGTAATAAAACTTGATATAAATACAAATGCAATGGCTCATTTACCTCATCAGGGCTTTTTTTAAAAGCTGGTTTTGTTTTTTTAGAAGATACCCTTCCACTGAGATATGGAGGTAAATTGAGAGCTTTTGAGTTAGTCTTTCTCTATTTTTTTCTTGGTTAGATTAATTGCTGAAAGTTATGGATAAAAATTTCACCCAGTGCCAACAGTTCTTTCAATGTGGGTAGGTCATCAAGTTAAGAAACACAGTTTCTTGTTGAAATTTACCCAAAAATCTAGATTCTATAAAAATAATATTTATTTGAGTGCTTCTGGATGTTCTCTTCTAGGAGAATACTGAAACAGAAGCAAAGGAACAGGATAAAAACAGAAAAGGTAGCTTGAGATACCCAAAAACAGCATTCTACCACATTAGCTGGTTATATTTGTATTATTCTGTTTCAGAAGTGTTACACCACCCTTTTCACCAGAAACATTTTTGTAGACTCAAAAGATATCGTGTTTAATTTATTGTTAATTAAATTTCTTGTTTTTTGCCTAAGAACAATATTTTTTCTTGTACAATTTATGTTTGAGAAAGTCTCACTCTACCAGGTAGCAATTATTAGATGATGGAATAGTGAGCTTTAGAAATATTCACCTCATTTTAATAGGTTTTTATTGCTAAATGACAATTCTTTCTTGGGTCTGTGTTATGTTCTTGTAATAAAAACCACGTGTAATAGCAGACCTGTCAACCCTGCTGGTTTTGCCAGGAGACTCCAGGTTTTGCTTGCTTTCTCTTGGTCTCCCGGTTTTTTATGATTTTCTACCTGGTTTTCCTTGTCTTTCAGCAGAGGTTCTCTTATAACAAAAAACATTGAAATGACTTTCTTCTCGACTAAGTTATTTGTTAGTGTTTACAGCTTAACGAAAACGATAAAAAACATTAGGAAGACGCTACCCATGATAATTGTTGTCATTAACTGTTTGTGCAACATGAGTTTTTAGAGGTATGTTGTTTATAAATTCAGCAAATTCCAGGGATCTCCCTGTTTTTGGACGGATCTCCCTGTTTTTGGCTAAATCTCCCTGTTTTTCTTACCAAAAAATCTTAAATCTCGAGGTTTTGAAAATTTTAGGTTGACAGGTCTGCAATAGAGTAGTAAGAAGAACTGAGAAACCCTTTTATTTAACTAAAGAATGTTGCATGTCAATTGTCAAACATCTTAATTCATGTTTTAGAAGAAGATTATAAGCCTGGCAATGAGGTTATTGAAGCATTGGTTTGTCCCATCTGCTTAGAAATCGCAGAAAAAGCAGTTGAAACAAGCTGCTGTCACAACGTTTATTGTGAGAAATGTTTATCTATGGTTATAAATGGTCCTTGCCCACAATGTCGTAATGAATTTCAAATTTTGGCATCACATGTTTGCCGAAGGATGATTGGAAACTTACCTGCGGTTTGTTCTTTTATTGGATGCACTGCTAAACTCACTAGATCTGAGCTGAATGACCACGAGCAAAGGTATTGTATACAATGTGAGCCAAAGTATTGCACTGCCCTTCACGAAATGACAGCACTGCTGCAAAAAACTTTTTAGTTGACCAAATTTCAAATTGCTTTGGAAAGTTTCATAAAAGATGTCTATGTTAATATTGATGGACAATGGTACTAAAGGGATGGTACTAAAAATGGCAAATGCTAGAATATTCTTTTTTTGAACGTTATTCACAATTGAAAAAACTTAGTATCCAGACAGTTTCGAATTTTTTTGCGAATTTGTTGTGAAAATAAATTGTTTACATGCTTCAAAAGCAATTTTCTTCAGAACCTTTTTATGAATTGCCTCGAAACTTTTCTTGAAACTTCCTTTCAAACTATTTTTCGTCTAAATAATTCAAGTTTATTGATATGTAAACAAAGAGTCTAGAAATGTTGTTTTTCGTAATAATGGGAAAACTGTCGTAAGTTGGCCAAATGTCTGCTCGCAATTTTCGGTGAAGCAATAGTCACATCTTACACAAAGCCGTTACTTCATCCTCGAACCGCTGCGAAACTTTCCCTCTTATATTGTATTGTTTACAATCTCATCCTACAGTGTTTTTCTTAATAACTTTCTCGATGGCAAAATAGATTTTATAGATAAAAATAGGTAGCGAGAAATAGATGGTCTGGATGGAAAAAAGATTCATTTCCGTTTGGGTGATGGCTTTGTGTGTAGAAGCCTTCATTCTCAAGTAAGTGCTTTTTAGATAAGCAAATATTTGGAACTGGCATTAAATTTTGCAGATCTGTCTCTTACTTTCATTTGCTCCCTAAGTGTAGCAATTTTTCTGCTACCTGTTGTATCATGTGGATTGTTGACTCTATTCGTTGCACTTGTTTCCATAAATTATCTTCGTATATGTTGGGTCAGCGAATAAATTTTATATGGCCTATACTTTGCAACCTTAATATTCCTTTTTTAGATGCGAGCATCGTCTGTACAAATGCCCAGCACCAAAATGTTTGTTTGAGGGGCTAAAAGAAAACTATCTGCTGCATTTGATACAAGAGCATAAGGAGGACGTGGTTAAAAGGTCTGCCAACCTTTTCAGTATGGAACAAACCAGTGAACAAACTAATAACAGGATTCGCGCCAAAGTGAACGAGGCTGGAAGAGAATGTCGACTTGGCTCTACTGGAAAATACTATTGCGGATTTGCTGTTGGTCCTTTGAGGTAAAGTATCTTTATATCAGAGAAAATTTTTTTTTAAATTTGAATTGTTCACAGTTCAGAAACACAGTTCAGTTCAGTAGTGTTTATGTAGCTATGAATCTTTATCAATTGTCACTGGATTCAGAGCTTGAGTCTGGAAGTTTATATTCACCCCCCCCCCCCCCCAAATACAGCTTGAGTTGTAAGCTGCTTTCCACTCTTTAGTCAATAAATTTTGTTCTATTTATGCAGAACATGTGTGTCGTCTTTCCATTTTAAAGGGGAGAGGGCTACAAAAACTTGTTTTTGGATTAAGGGGGAGCATTGGAGCTGTATGAAATTGAGCGGGTAAGAAAATTATTGCACTCTCCCAAAAGTATCTTCCACACAACTCCTCGCAATTTAAATCACTGGTCCCTTGGAATTTTGGCAATTCAAGAAATTCAGGTTTGTGCAGATAGAAGACGTTTGTTTTCTTATCTTGGGATTTCATTTGTCGTCCTGTTTTATCGTTAAATCTTTATATATCTAAATACTAAACTTATTACGGTTGATTGATTTGCTGTAGATGCGATTGTTGTGATATCTACTGTGGTCCTGAGAATGGTTGCAACTGTGCCGCGTGCATGAAACTGGACATCAAGTCTTTCAAGCTCGCCAAAGGCTGGTACGTCAACAGGGACGGATGCGTATGTCAACAAAACACAGAAAATGGCAATGTTTACTGTGGGCGACTTGCAATAACACCTTCCGAGGATTCAGATGGGTTCTGTGGACCGGATGTTGGTTCAAACTGTGATGCCTGTCGCATTTTGCAAAATCAGTTGAGAGATAGATATGCATATATCTGGGAGTAATCTGGCTCTTGAGTTTGACGACCCGTGTCTAAAGAGTTTTCGATAACTTTTAACCAATTTAGCAAAATCATTTTTGTATTGTTCGCTTTATAACACCCTCTACAACGGCTTCCGCTGTCACAGCTCATGAAAATGGATCATTGCAAAGCTTTTCCAAATGTCAAATTTGATAAAACAATTTATTTCAGTACCAGAAATAGAATAGTCAATATGTGATTGATGTCAAGAGATTTTTACAACTATTTCTTTTCATTGTCTTCGTCAGCTTTTTGTTGTCAACTAGTTAAAAGTTGTTTCTTTTATATAATTATTTAATCAACTATTAATGTCAATCCAATCTAGGCATGAAAATCTAAAGACAGTGGGCCATCTATTTGAAATATCAATTTTGTTAGCACACTGTAAATTATATCAATGTATCAAATATATGAGGACCGCCCCAAGGAGGGGGGTCAGGGGACTTTTCCCCTTCAATTTGCCGCAATATATACTGATTAAAATTATTTTCCTTCTCCATGACTCTGCCGCTTGAAAATCAAGGTGTAGTTCTTGTCTTTTTGTTTCAAATATTTATCAACCATGAACAGTTAATTTCTAACCAACCTTTTAATTAACGTCCTTTAGATCCTGTATGATCCACGTTTCAGCGCATCTATCTCGCTTTAAAGTACATTAACTTCAAAAAGTTTCCGCGTGACAATGTTTCGGACAAATATTTTGACGAATATTTCTTCGACTAAATTCAGTACATGCTTTGACTCTCAATACCGTATAAGGACAAACATATGGAAAATATCAATCGACAAGTCTCAGTGAACGTGATTATGTATGTTGTAACTCGAAATAAGTTAGTTTGGTGCTTGGAGTAGAGTTGAAGTAAGGATTGTGATCGGCGGAATTGTGAAATAAAATACTGATGTATTTGATACAAAATAGTTAGACAAAATGGTGATTTTCTCTTAAACTTCGTCTATCATTAAATATTAAGATAAGGGCACCGCTAGAAATAGTGGTCCCAACATAATAACGAACGAAACGTTAGGTGAAGATTTTGAAAATCGAGAACAATTTTTTTCAATGATGTTCGATGAAATATTTGGCACATTCGACCGGGGCTTTAAAGATGAAAAATTTAGGAGACAACGGTGGTCCCAAAGAATCCATTCTTGGATCGCTGTTGTTTATAGTATAACTGAAATATTTGCCTGCCAACCTGCTTGCAGATTCTTCGATGATTGCCTGCCAACCAACTGCCTTATCACAAGTAAAGTCCTTTTTAGTTGAGAATTATTTTAGTTCAGCGTGTTGTATGTCGAGTAATGAGCAAAAATTAACACAATTAAATAAAGACATTGAACGAATGAAAGCTAAGTACGACGTTTCCAGCATAACTCTTCATCAGCACGTGTTGATCAAGCGTTATGCTTGAAACGTCTTACTTACTTTTCGTCCACGTACAAGGTCAAATTCTGTCACGCGTCTATCTTAGAAGACTGTTCTATATAAGCTCAATATTGTACAGATAGACTACGAAAACTAATAAATTGTTGGGATACATATTACATTAGAACCTCTGAAAACAAATATGAACTAGGTTATCTCAACGCACTGCTCAGTCAGGGTGATCAAACGACCTTAACATTGCACCTAACAATTCTATGAACAAAGAAAGATTAATGTAAGTGCCTGCGCAATGCACCGCAATGAGAAATGGAAATTTCCCGCAAAATTATTGCAAATCAAAAGGCCTTTCTCATGTTGAAAAAATTACGAGCTTTTATGACAGAATTAAATGGTTTTCGTGAGCACAATATCAACAAAAATCTCAAGATATGCTTCGAGCAAAACTTGAATTTATCGCGCAAGTTAGGCAAGTGCGAGTTGAGCAAAGTTCAGTTGGAGGGTCAAACGAACTGAGCATCGCTCAACGACACCTCGAACAAAAGAAATGTTTAATGACTCTCTCAAAATTTTTGATCGCCGTCAAACATCTCTGAGCAGGGGTGAGCAAAGCTGAGCAAGTGGTCAAACGAACCGAACTTTTCACTGAGTAAGCTATAACAGTGTACAGGATGGGAGCAAAAAAAATGGGCAGCCCACAAACCCCCACCCCGATATAAATTTTGTTCTGACACAACTGGTAGAAAACTGTAGTACTCTAGAATTCAGTGGGCTTGGCTATCAAAGATTTTTGAAAAAATGTATCGTTGCATACGAGATCCAAGAGACCGAATCAAGTTGAAAATTTTCTCAAAGGACAATTTTCTCAAAGGAAAAATTAACAAAATGTTTCATTAAAAGACATACCGGATACTTTCAGTGTAGCCTGCATACAGATTTTAAATCACTGGTCCCTTGGAATTACTAGGCTCATTTTGGCAATTCAAGAAATTCAGGTTTGTGCAGATAGAAGTCTTGGGATTTCATTTGTCTTGTTTTATCGTTAAATCTTTATATATCTTAATACCAAACTTCTTATTGTTGATTGATTTGCTATAGATGCGATTGTTGTGATATCTACTGTGGTCCTGAGAATGGTTGCAACTGTGCCGCGTGCATGAAACTGGACATCAAGTCTTTCAAGCTCGCCAAAGGCGGGTACGTCAACAGGGACGGATGCGTATGCCAACAAAACACAGAAAATGGCAATGTTTACTGTGGGCGACTTGCAATAACACCTTCCGAGGATTCAGATGGGTTCTGTGGACCGGATGTTGGTTCAAACTGTGATGCCTGTCGCATTTTGCAAAATCAGTTGAGAGATAGATATGCATATATCTGGGAGTAATCTGGCTCTTGAGTTTGACGACCCGTGTCTAAAGAATTTACGATAACTTTTAATCAATTTAGCAAAATCATTTTTGTATTGTTCGCTTAATAACACCCTCTACAACTATTAATGTCAATCCAATCTAGGCATGAAAATCTAAAGACAGTGGGCCATCTATTTGAAATATTAATTTTGTTAGCACACTGTAAATTATATCAATGTATCAAATATATGAGGACCGCCCCAAGGAGGGGGGTCAGGGGGCTTTTCCCCTTCAATTTGCCGCAATATATACTGATTAAAATTATTTTCCTTCTCCATGACTCTGCCGCTTGAAAATCAAGGTGTAGTTCTTGTCTTTTTGTTTCAAATATTTATCAACCATGAACAGTTAATTTCTAACCAACCTTTTAATTAACGTCCGTTAGATCCTGTATGATCCACGTTTCAGCGCATCTATGTCGCTTTAAAGTACATTAACTTCAAAAAGTTTCCCCGTGACAATGTTTCGGACAAATATTTCGACGAATATTTCTTCGACTAAATTCAGTACTAAATTTGGTTACTATATGAGACTATTATATGAGGTAAGAAATCAAATTTATGTATCCTTTTAACCTAGTCAATGCTAACTTTGCCATTGTCCTCCTTTACATCGTCTTCATAACTGTCTTTATCGTCGAAATCATCATCATAATCATCATTATCATTGACGTTTCTTGAACTAACTTCGTTCGATGAAAATAGTTCTAACTGTATTTCGTCGCCGGTTTCAAAGGATTCCACCTCTTTCTTTTTACACGCAACTGTACTATTTCTTTCATTCGTTCAGGGTGTTTGCACTTTTCAACCCAAATTTTAAACTCTACAGAAAGCAAAATTTCCAGACTAACTTCTCCTATTGGAGATGGTCTTATGCTTTCCGAAACTTGCAGTTATACATATACTTTTAATTATAGTCTATTAATAAACTTTTTACCGTAATGATAGAGAGTAGAGACTCTTTCAGTGCTAAAGTCATACCTTGTGATTTGCCTTCGCATAAACTGTGAAAATATACCGCTTTTATTTTGATTTTCCTGAAATGCTGTTCTATTTTAAAATGCTGCCTGGGAGGATAAGCCGAATGCCGAACGGGTGCCCACGCCCCAAAGCCTCCACGGAGTCGGTACCTAAGGGACTGAATATGAAGCAAACTATATGGTTTTGCCTCTTATATATCTGTGTTATGGTTAATATCTCAGTATTAAAAATCCTCGACGAAATTCTTTCAAGATGAAATTCTGAAAAGTTTACCGAAATTTTTTTCGACGAAGTTTATCCGTTGAAAATTAATGTTATGAATTTTTTGTTGTTAATGTATATCTTTATGACCTTCAAAACAGATGACATTTTCCCACGAACACTGGCTAAAAGCTGATGCTTTGTGTTGAATGCCCTTTTGTTTGAAAAGAAAATTTCGAAATTTTTAATTGATTTAAGGCGCAGCTGATTTTTAAACTTGTATCTCTTTAAAAGCTTCTTATCCTAGCAAGAAAAATAATGTATTTTGTCTCACTAATAATAAGTAGAACACCAATCCTCTAGTAGCTGTTCTTTTGTGACTATAAAGATAGGAATGAAAGGAAAAGATGGAGGTGGCATCTTTGCTTAAAAAATATCCAGATGTCGCAATCCTGCAGTGACAACATTCCTTGTTATTGGACTTCCGAAAATCTTTAGATTGGCCCCCTTGTGTAAATCATCACTCCTCGGATTAGTTTTAATTTTTGTGAGAAACCGTCTATAAGAAACCGAGCCTGAAAGATGATCAACAAATCAGATTCATGAAAACATTAAGGTCCCACAGCCAGGGAAAGGTTGTAACAACAAAAGAAATTCAGGAAGATTACCTAAAAATTTGAAATAGCGGAATTTAAGAAATTGTATTGCCTTTTGGTTTTCAGTCAGAAAAAAATCGAAAAAATGAAATAAGATTTTGAAACCTCCTGCTCTTACTTTGAATGTGTTTGCAGGAATGCTTTGCACTGTTAACTTTAGATTTACATCAATTAAAAATGAAATTAATTGATATAAGCATGTAACTTTACACATTTTTCAAAAAGAAATCTATATTTAAAGGCAAGCTACAGTTCTTTAAAAACGTTTAGGAAAAGAAGTTGCACGGAGAGAGGATCAAGACTAATTTGAGTATCCCCAATTCCCTGACAACGCCCATTTTAAACCAATTAAAACGAGCAAGGTTTGATAGCAATACTTTCTAGGCCTACTTTTCTGAATTCTGCAAAATATTAAGAAAGCCATGAAACTGATAACCCTTAACCTTGAGAATCTGCTCAAAATCTTTCTTAAACAGATGGGGTTGAAAGGATTCTTTTAGACCACAAGGCAAGTATTTTCTGTTTCATTGACACAGATAAAAAGAAAAAGCACCTTGCGACTGTTAATCGTATGCTATGTCTTTGTGTTTCTAAAAGGTAGGTCTGATCTTTGGTATTGAAGAAACATTTCAAAAACTTTAGCATGCACAATTCTACTGCTATGCGTCTGCACTACCATGAGATTTCAGAAAGCAAGTTGTTTGACAAAACAAAAGTTTCCACAGCTATAACTTTAAGCTTATTAGTCAGATCACATTGCTCTTTTGATATCTTTTGCTCAGTTTTGCATGTTCTTTTAGACAGTAACATCAGATTTGAAAAATTCTGAAGTTCAGAATCATAATTTTGCTGACCGTGCATTTTTCATGCTTGCAGAAGCGCGATTTCCTTTCATTTGCCAGAATGTTCCCAAGGCTTTGAATGATCAGTAGACTTTACTCTTATGATTTATACTGTAACAACTTCGGTTACCCAAATTGCTAGATGGTTATGCAAAATTCCCTGTCCAATTGCAGAGATTGCAATGTTTGTATCGAGAACAAGAGGCTCTTCCAAGTTTTCAACCGTCCCTAAACGGCACTCAACTGGTACTAAGTTGCTGAAATCCATCTGTGTGTCAATATGGTTTAAGTAATCTGTCAATCGACTATAAATCAGAACCCGTGTCACTGACCCTAAACTGAAGGGGCCAGCAATATAAAGAAAGTTTCCTCCTCCCCCCCCCCGTTAGCCCCAATAATGGCAATCATTTTGCCAACGCTGTTTTACTTGTAGACTTTGGTTCTACGTTTGGCT